TCAGCACAAGAACTGTGCACCAGTAGCTTCATGGCCAAGGAGCTCCTGTAGGTGTAATGTGTCGGTGGCCCAGTACTTTTGTCCATATAGTGTACATGTGAAATAAATGCAACTCGAGAGAAATATCTAAACTACTGCCCACAAAGTTGCATCAATCACTTAAACTCAATGATGTCTTTGAAGAAAGTACTGAAGGAAAAAGAACGTTGCATCTCTTTAGTAAAACACCTTGTAAGGAAACAGTACAAACTTTATCCTTTATTCATGCTTATCTGAGAGAAGGAATGTGTGCAAGCACTACAAAAACTGGGATGTGCACATTTCCCATTTAGACAAACACAAATGACTTTCTCCCTGAAGAATAATAGTAATGCTCTTATCTAAAGTCAGAACCAAAACAGTTAGAGACGCTCTCAGCTGCAACATGGCAGACAAATGGATTTCATTTTTTTATTTGCAAAAAAAAACAAAACAAAAAAGGTTCATAAATATTTCTAATGGGTTTCTTTATTCCTGCCAAATCACACAGCTAAATGAAAAGTTCTGCTGCTCTTTTGTGCTATTTAATTGTTGGTTTCTCAAGTGCAATCTTACTTCTATGGTTACAAAGAAGGTAAACCTAAAACATATTTTTTGTCACTGGGACTTGTGGAGGATGTACTTTATATCTTGCTTAGTTTTCTCAGAATTTTATTCAGTCTTTTTATATTCTAATGATTTTCTTTGCTTATGTAACGTACTTCGAAATACATTGTTTGAAAAAAAAATGCATTTCCATTGCCCTGCCTTTCTTCCTCTTGTTCTTCTTTCAGGTGCTCCCTTTAGGGGTCAACAACAGCTCATCTGCTTCCATCTCACTCTATCCTCAGGACCATCTTCTGTCACACCACCCCTCTGCATTTCCTCCATCACCACATTCATCCTTCTATGAGGTCTTAATCATTCTCTCTTGCCTGGCAGCTCCATATTCAACATCCTTTACCCAGAATACCTACTATTCCTCCTCTGCACATGTGCAAACAATATAAGCCCTGTCTCTCTGTTGCTTTGACAATGTGTGTGTGTGTTTAAAAATAAATCATTAAATGATGTTTATCTAATATTTACGTCAGTTTTCAATTCTCAAAGCTCTCAAAATTCAACCTTTTATCTCTTCTTACCACTTGGGACAACGAGTGTGCAAACTTACAAGTTGCAGACATTTAGTAATTTGATTCAAGAACACAATATAAAACACATGCCACGACAGTGAATCTTCATTCCTCTCTCCCATCTCTCGATAACTACTCATTATCTTCCTCCTCCTCTTCCTCCCTGCATCTCTCTCCCTCCGTGTCTTTTTGTCACAGCTCCTCCCTCACTTCAACATGGGCCTCCCTCTGTTTCTCTGCTAACAAGTGTCTCTTCTCAGCTCAGCTGTCTCACAGTTTCATCAAACACCCACTGAGAGGAGCGTCGTTTTGACTTGTTACGGGTAAGATAAATCTGAATAATTTTTTATATCTCAGCACTTAATCATACAATTTCACGCTGCAGCACAAATTTGTCTTTACTTTGTGCAAGCAATAAATGCACGATGGAAGTTTTACTTGAAATTGAAATGTTTGGGGTTTTTTTGTTTTTTAAATTGGGAGTAAATATAATAACGTAAAAGAAGCACTGTAGACATACAATTTAGAAATAGTCAAGAGGCTTTTCCTGAGCATCAGTAGCACTGGCATCCAATAAGAAATAACTGCTGTTTAATATCTAAAAATACCTTCAAACAAACTTTCATTTTTTGAGACAATTTTATGTGTGATTAGAAATAATTAACTATACATAAAAAAAAACAATGTTGGATCATCAAAAGTTGTTAACAATGTTGTTGTGACTACAAAACAAATTAAAAGTAGATTATTTGATTTCTGTGTATGACAGCACGAGCCAGGCATATTTGAAATGCTACATAGTGTGTTTGCCATTAAAATGCTTTGAATTTTTGAAACCCAGAGCGATATTGATGTGGTGTTTATACAGAGCCTCACGTCATTTTATCTGAGTAAGCTAGTTTAGTGCTATCTAAAAAATGCAAGATACTTTGCATTTTACAATAAGGTCTGAACAGCCCTTCTGTTATCCACTCAACCCAGCAGGCTTAAACTGGAAAACAGAAGAAAGAGCAATATATCAGAAAACTGGTGCTTCTCCTTTTATAGGAATTGTTGTATCTAGCCTCAAGTGCTGCAGAAGGCCTCTGTCTACTGACCAAGAATGATCTGAACATTATATATACAATGGATGAGAAATATACATAAGCAGCTCTCCTGTGTGTTTGCAGAATGCCTTTAGGGGGAGGAAATAAGTGTGGCTGCTGCCAGAAACCTGTCTACTTTGCTGAGGAAGTGCAGTGTGAGGGAAAGAGCTGGCATAAATCCTGTTTTCTGTGCAGTAAGTATTGAGAACTTAAGGTAATCCGAATCATTTGATCAACAACTTCTTTAAATCATAAGAAGTGCCCGGCGGGAATGCAGAGTATTTGGCATCACAGGAGTAAAGTGAGCATCCACAGCTTTTCACTAAGACATCTCAGTCCTTATTTGGATCCACTGCAAACATGTGACAAATACTTGGGCTTCCTTTTATGGCGAAGGAAGGTACACACACTCAGTCTCAAACACTGAGCAGTATTTATCTGAGACTGCCACTGTGGTTTACACCATTCCCTTCTGTCACACAGACTTTGTGGGTATGGCACAGCTAAACATCTGTTTTTAAAAAAATGGCAGCTTGTGGTGGGTGACTGCTTTTGAAAGATAAGCTCGTGCTGTAGATGCTTGAGAACTAACGAAAGAAAACTATGTGTATATTTGTTTTTCTCCCTTTATCTCCGTTTTAAGTGGTGTGTAAGAAAAACTTGGACAGCACAACTGTGGCTGTTCATGTGGATGAGATCTACTGCAAATCCTGCTATGGCAAGAAATATGGGCCAAAAGGCTATGGCTATGGAGGTGGAGCTGGCACGCTGAGTATGGATACGGGAGAGGGTCTTGGAATCAAGCCTGAAGTGTGAGAAAAACATCACTTCCTCCTTTCTTTAACTGCTGAAACATTCAGATATATAAGAAAGAACTCTATAATCAAAACAAAGACTAATATTTTATTTGTGTTTGATTTACCACACGATATAATAAAACACACCAAACCTCTTCAGGTTCTGTATTTAAAGCTTAAATGACAGATGAGTACGAGGAAAGAAATACATTGAAATTCTTTTTCTTAATTCCCCCCCCCCTCCCCTAATGGCAGACAAGCTCCTCATCGCCCTACAAATAACCCCAACTCCTCCAAGTTTGCCCAGAAAGCAGGAGGCTCAGACGTGTGTCCACGCTGTGGGAAAACAGTGTATGCAGCAGAGAAGGTTATTGGGGGAGGCAATGTAAGAAAGAGAAAAGCTGCAGTCGCAATGTGCAGTCCTGTTTCAAAATAAAAGTAGATGACGATTTAAAACATTTCTTCCATGTCTCTTCAGTCATGGCATAAGAGCTGTTTTCGCTGTGCCAAATGTGGAAAAGGACTGGAGTCCACAACCCTTGCTGATAGAGATGGGGAGATCTACTGTAAAGGTTTGTGTATAAAAGTATTATATAAAAGACAAAAATATCCCCTGGTTCACACTGATTAAATATAGAAAATGTCATTTTTATCTTGTGTAATAAGTGTATAGTACATTTATATTATATTACCATATTTCAATTACCAAATAAAGACATAAACTGACATGTCAGTTTATAACTGACAAAATAATAAAGCATATTAAACACTTCCCATCTCTCTGTTCAAAGTCACTAAACCAAGTAAAAAGACAAAATAACATTGAAAATCACTATGATATCTCTGGTATGTTTGAGTTGAACTGCATGTCCACTGCCAAATTACTTGAGACAGATGCTCAAATGGCAGCAGCTCTGACACATTGACCAAGATTTCATTAAATTTATGCATTCATTTTTTTTTTTTTATTTTTATTTTTAATTAACACCAATTCTAATGACAGGCCTCATTGATTTTATGACTGTAAGGCCAATCCAATATTCAATGATCAATGAGGCCAATCCAACACTTTGTGCGATATTCATTAATAACAGGAACATTTCAGTAGGCAATTAAGAATATGTTTTCCCACACATTCCTTCCGTCTTCCATCAGAAAGCACTAACACGTTTATGCATTGCAAAATGGTCCACTATAGGCCTTTCTCAGTTCTAAGATCTAAAAAAAACTTCTAAGTGCATTCGTAGTAAACCCTTGACAAACAGCAATAAAATTATAATTTCCCGGGATATAGTTAATATTTTATATGCTTAAATGTTGATATCCTTATCAAGCTCATAATTCCAGCATTAGTTCTATATTCTATACACAAATTATGCACAGGATTTCTCATTCATTTTAATTTCCTTTACAGGTTGCTATGCAAAGAACTTTGGTCCAAAGGGTTTTGGCTTTGGTCAGGGTGCAGGCGCTCTTGCTCATTCCCAGTAAAGCCTGAAGCCTTAGCTCACCTGGGACTGACATCTGGTGGGCTCCGATATCACAGCTTCTGGGATCTCTCAGTCAACATGAAGCTTATTTCACTCTGCCCTTTCACTTTAGCTACAGGCAATGAAAAATGAAAGAAGCACACATCAGCAGCTCTTTGAAAATATTCACCAAGCAAAGTCTGCTCCTTACTTGATGTTGCATTAGACTCCAGTGTATACAACCCCAAGTCCAAAAAAGTTGGGATGTGTACGTGTTATAAATAAAGATGGACAGAAGTGATTTGCAAATCTCATAAATCTATATTTTATTCACAATGGAACACAGAAAAGGCATTACATGCTTAAAATGAAGTATTTTACTTTTTCATTTTGAATTTGCTGGCAGCAGCATCTTTCAAATAATTTGGGATCACGACAGCAAAGGAAGTGCAAACGTAAGACTAAAAAACACAAAGCAGTAAGAACAGAAATTCAACAATCTGGAAAACACTGCATCCACAAATTGATGATCAGCATTCTGAAATTTTACCAGAAAGTAATATACCATCATCAAAAGATTGAGAGAATCTGAAGAAATCTGTGTCCAAGGGACAAAAATGAAAATCAGTACTGGAATCATGTGATCATCAGTAAACTCATCGGGACGACATTAAAAACATAACGGTCATAGATATCGCCTGCATGTACTCAGGAACACCTCTAGAAACCATCGTCTCTCAACACAGTTCACTGTGTCATCCACAAATGCAGGTTAAACCTCTATTATTAGTGCAAATACAGAGTTTACAGAAACAAGTTCCAGACTTGTATGGACCGTTAAAGGAAGACGAGTTGGTACACCGTGGTAAACACGGCCCTGTCACAACTTGCTTGGGACAAGGCTGTGACATGTTTTTGCTGTCAGATTCAAAATGACCACATTTTATTTTAAATTTGTACATTTTCTCAGTTTACACATTTGCTATGTTTTTTATTTTCTGTTGTGAATAAAATGTGAGTTTGAGATTTGCAAATCATTGCATTCTATTTACCTGATTACATTTGCTACATTGACATAAGTGTAGCAAACACATCAACAAATGTTACACTGACATCTAATTCTACTTTAGTAGAAACACAAAGTGTGCACTCACTGAGTAGTTAACAATTTGGCTTAAACAGCACTAGAACATGTACACAAAAGCAACTTGGCTTATCGAGTGCTAAATTTAAATAACATCTAAAAACAATAGACAACAAGAACAAAAGAAGAAATTATACACTGACAACTGTGAGAAAACAGTCTTAAATCATGCCTCAGTTACATTGGTGCTGAAGCTTTTCTTACTGCCGAATGTTATAATTAATATCTTAAGAAATGCATTTTTTGCTCTAACACAAAATAAATTTAATGGCAAAAGCAAACAGTAAGTTTTGAAAGTTTTCCTTACTTGTCGTAGTGCAAAGTTTTTCATTGTTGTTTTTTTATCTGCTACTCAGATCTGATTAAATCAGCATGCATGTTTATGTGATCTCAAGTGTGCCTGACAATCTTTCTAAATGATCATCTAACTTAACAACATGCCAGTTGTTGTGGTGAACAACAGAGCCATAGTATTCAGCCCCATCTCTGGCTGCACCGAGGAGTTGGCACACTGGCCAAAGCGCTATGCAGCTGTGGTGGTGGTATTTGTACCACCACCACAGATGTGTGAGTCACATCGGCAACAAAACTACAGCAGAAAGTCACGCAAACATCAAGTGTTACAGGGAAAAGCGCAACTCTTTCATTTTGTTGATATGCTTACATAAATATGCACTAGTCACCAGAATGTTATGGCTAATATTGTGTAGGCGATCCAGTTGCAGCTGGGGGTTTCCTGTGGTGTCTGCTATGGACTGAACTTATTCTCTCCTTCATTCTTTCTTGGCAGTCTGGTGGCAGTTGCAGTCCTGTTTCTTAAAACCAGTGTTTTGTTATGTGTTGTTTGGGAGTGCCATTGCCGTAGGGATTTGTGCCATTTTGGAACAATGTTTATGTGGGTGGTAACATACAGATAAGAGTCAGTACTCAAGCTTTTTGAATCGACAGCATTATCAATCACACATCCCTCATCTGTGATTTTAATGGTGCAGCAGTTTGTGTTAAATAGGAAAACCCCACAGATCCCCTTAAGCCAGTTTCTGTAGAAAGCAACAGAGTAGCACTCCATCACAATAAGATGCATTTTTCAATTATCAATAGGTCTGTCTTTAAATTTCTCCATATATTGACGTAATGTTGGTGTACTTGTTATACACTACCGTATCACATTAAAAATCCAAGAGCAAAGAAGGGAATATGCCATCATGTGACCACTCAGTGACAGGCCACTCAGTTCTATGTCATATCAGACTTTACAGAACAAGTACTGGCACTACAGTTTATCCACATACACAGTAATAAAACCTGAATCATTCGGTTGACATTTTAAAGTTTTTTGTCTTAGAAAAACAAACAAACAAACAAACAAACAAAAAAACAACCCAGAAAACACCCAGAGACTAGTGCAATGTACACCACATAATCCCTTTTCATCTGTATTTATCCTTCCTGCTTCCTGGAAACAGTGCTACAAACACTCACAGGACTGCCGATTCTGCCATATATGCTGTGGAATCAGAATCAGCTGCCATGAGCTAGGAGGGCAACTCAAATCAGATGCAGGGATTGAGTCCTGACTTAGTGAGAGCAAAAGATTATTTCCTGCATAGTCCATTTCACATCCTTGCTTCAAAAATAATAAATAAATAATAATAAAACACAGCTTGAATTATAACTGAAAGAGTGCAAACACATTGTACTCTTGCTATAGTTTTGAAAAACTAAATGTTTTCCCAGCTTTCAGTCATCACTGGGTGACAGGCCTGGGCTGTCCCAAGTCCCAGTCTTGCCTTTTGATCTGCCCCTTTATAAAAGCAACACATCAAACAAATACAACCATCAATTTAAGAGTCTTCTGATTAAAGATGACTGTTTGTGTCCCATACTTGACAGAGCTTCAACATAGTTACTTTGTCAAATAACTGTTTGTGTTCCAGCAGTCAGGATGTCCACTGGACAGGCACGTAGCCATTTGACTGACTATACTGCAAACTCATGGCAACCACCCTCTATCCTTTCTGGCTGCTGCAGTTTCTGATATTGACAGCATCTATGGAAACAATATAGTGCCCCACTTCTGGTCACATGCGACCAACAGGTGGTGCCCGTTATCCAGCAGATCTAGGCTTTAGCAAATTTACAGCCACATGTTTTAGGCTCTGTGGATGGTTATATCTGGCTGTCTGTGTGAACTCTAGATCAAAGCTGCTGTATCAAATCAGGACTTTGTTAGGCTATTATGTACATGACTGACTTTCAAATTGGACTTTCATGTTTGTTGTACTAAGTGGAGAGCATGTCAGTAACACAAACATCGCCCAGACACAAATAATTTCATGGATTACTTTAAGGACTTACTGTCCTTGTGAGTGTGAACTAAGCACACAAATGTGTGTTCACAAAGACAGCCATATTCATCTGTGTTTTTATTTTGCTTGGAGCACACAAACCCCCAAATGCAAAGCATGCACACAATTGCAGACCGAGACCCAGTATCAAAGAGTGGCAGCATCACACGGTGTTGCAATTTGTCTATGTTTAGTTGTGAGGCCGTGGCCAAATGAACACTGGAAACTGCATTCCTGTCTTAAAACCAAGGGCTTAATGTTGTCTGCAGCCATTATCCTTATCAGACCAATGGGGCCCTTCAGTCTCAAAGGGGACATGGCAAGTCTCCAGTATCTCTTTCAACAGCCACAGAAAACCTCAGAAAATCATCTGTACTAACAAGACAGACTGTAGGCTGCTTTATAGTTGATTTAACTGAGGTGATGAGGAGGTATACACAAAACTCTGACCAAATGTCAGAAGAAAACAATAACTGATCCCGCCTAGAATTTTAAATAATTTACTTTTGTAAAAACAGACTAAAGATGAAAAATTTATTCAGAATGATGTTGTTTATGCCACTTTGCCACACATTAAAGTTCACACATATTATTATGAAGAATAGAAAAGCGGTGATCTGTCAACACAACACAAGCAGCACAGGCACGATTATCTTGAGACCACCCCCTCTTATGGTGTGTGTGTGTTTTTCTATTTAAGTCTTATTGTGATAGAGAGGAGGGCCAAAAGGGAGCTGGAGATAAATGTTTCACTGTTCTTCTCTCCATCACTTCGTCTTTGTCTGCATCCACAACATCAGCAAAGAAAGGTAATGGCATAGTCTTCCTGCTACACCGAATACTAGCCAGTGTAGTTTACCCTGTTCTTTTTCACTTTGTAATATATTAATTTTCAATATATAATTTTATTACCAATATATAAACTGCTGGTATTTAAGAAAAGATCAAATAATTTTTTTTTTTCCAGATAATACTTTGGTCTATTTCAGCAAATAGCAAAAAGTAATAATAATTTTTTTTTTTTAAAAGACATGTATTACAGGTTACCTGAACCGAAGGTGACAACTCCTTTTTTTGGTTGAGTTTGATCAGTAGTCTGACATTCAAAGATTTAAAGTTCAATTACCTACAGGAAGAAAAGCAAATCATGATAGTTCTTTTCTTGTGCAAGAATTTAAAATTGTTTTTCATAAACCATAAAAATAACAAATATGTCTAACAGTAAATAACCTGAATAGCAGGAAATGTATTGCTCTTTTTAAAGCATTACAACAAAGCACTCCCAGTTGTTGATCTGCTAACACTGTTCAGTAGCTCAATAGAAACCTGTAATCCACAACTAGATTCAGTTCACTCCCTTAAGCAAGAAAAGGCCAAACTGCTTACTTCAAGACAATAAATTATGAAGGGTGTCTGCTTGTTTTGTCTAATGTGGCTATAAGCTAAATATCTGCATGGCTATAAATTAAAACAACAAAGTACTGTAACACAATATGTTACACCATCGATGGAGAAAAAAAAGAATATATGTGTCATATAACTCGGTGAACATCAGTCATGCAGTTTAAGTCTGGGATGTTCTAAGATTTATAGAGCCAGTCTATATTTGTGTCTTGATGCTACAAAGCAGTGAGGGGGAAAGTGGGAAATAAATGCTATCAGGAGTGGCTGCCATGTCGAGGGCCTGGCATGCTTTTCCATGTCTGCCATCACTTCCCTTTCAGTGTTATCAGCACTGAGAGGCAACTAGATGATTTTATCCAGGAGGCTCAATGAGCACAAAGTAACAATGTCTGATAAATTTAATTAAAAAAAAAAAAAACAACCTTGCTAGATAAAGTAAAGTTTTGTCATCCGTTATCAATTTCATGAATAACTGACCTCACTTGTCGTAAAGAATCTGGTATAACAGGCCTTGGGATATCTCTAATGTATACTTTAAGTCTTTTAACACTATACCATTGACTCACCCATTGTGTCTTTCAGTGCTTCCCACTGTCAAGCACTTCAAAAACAAAAGGTTTTATTTTTGTCTTCCAGGGGGAATTGAATAGTCAAGATGCCTGAGAAAGCGTAAGTATATTGAGTTTCTATTATTATTTTAATTGCCGATTGAGAGGATCATTTACAAACAGTAAATAGAATTTCCGTAGAAATATAATTTAAACATGGCAGGAGCAGTCAAGAATTACAATGACTTGAATTTCCTGTCATCAATAATAAAGCACTAATGTTGGCCTTCTGTTTCAACCAACAGACCAGAGGTAAGACTGAACTAAATATATTTACACTTATTAATGCTTCAAAAACAGCCACTTCAATCAGCATTACTGTAGACTAATAAAATGTCACAATATGATTAAAGAAACTGTGCTTTTTGCAGAGGAAATCTAAAATCTCAGCCTCTCGCAAGCTCATGCTGAAGGTGAGTAATCTGCAGCATTTGGCCACACAATAATATCTCACTCAAAAGGATCGATCAAATAATTACATTTACTTGGTGTCTCGTGTTTCAGAGCTTGATGGTAGCCAAGGCCAAGGAGGAACTGGAGCAGGAGATTGTAGAAAAAGACGAGCAAAAGGCAAAGTTTCTGGAGGAAAAAGCTCCTCCAATACGGACCGGTGGCCTCTCCTTAGCAGAGCTACGGGTACCATTTAACATTCATCATCATTTTGTTGCCACCCACAGACTAAAGTTACATGTGGTTACAGAAATTACACTGTCAAGAACTCAGCTATTCATCTCAGGACATTACAGGGAAATGATCTAACTTTGCAGATATTATGTGAGGAGCTGCATGCCAGAATAGATGTGGTGGACGAGGAGCGCTATGATATTGAAGCCAAGGTCTTGCATAACACCAGAGAGGTAAAAAACACAACTGTAGCAAAACTAAAAAAAAAAAAAAACTAAAATAAATGTATATATCAACATCAAATAGATACATATATATCTGTATGTCACTTTATAATATCTTATTTTGGCTTCAGATAAAAGGTAAGGGGTTTATGTCAAATTATCACCTCTAGATCAAAGACCTGAACATCAAGGTATTGGACTTGCGAGGGAAGTTCAAGAGACCTAACCTGAGAAGGGTGAGGGTCTCTGCTGATGCCATCCTGCGCTCCCTACTGGGCTCTAAACACAAGGTCTCTTTGGATCTGCGAGCTAACCTAAAATCCGTCAAAAAGGAGGACACAGAAAAGGTGAAGTCATGAGAAAGAAAAGTAAAATATACAGACACAGCTACTGACAGGAGATGCTTTGGGCAAAAAAAGAAATTAATACAGATATCATTTACTCCCCTTGTGCACAAGATGTGCACATCAGGTCTTCTGCTGATGTTCTCGCCAAGTATGAGTGGCAAACTGTGAAAAATCATATCTCTCATATGTATTCTGTGTGTGCTGCAGGAGAAGACAGCGGAGGTGAGTGACTGGAGGAAGAATGTGGAGGCCATGTCAGGCATGGAGGGCCGCAAGAAAATGTTTGATGCTGCAAAAGGCCAAAACCAGTAAAACAGCTGGCGAACAAACAGCTGGCGAACAAACAGCTGGCGAACAAACAGCTGGCGAACAAACAGCTGGCGAACAAACAGCTGGCGAACAAACAGCTGGCTAACAAACAGCTGGCTAACAAACAGCTGGCTAACAAACAGCTGGCTAACAAACAGCTGGCTTTCATCTAATCACCATCACTTGCATACCAAAGATTTCTGAGCACAAAGCATAAGGGATGCTTGGTGACTTCACATATTCAAGTCGTTTAAATACTCAGTATCTTTCCTCAACACTGAAATAAACACAGCATCTCTATTCTCATCGTCCCTGAGTCATCTTGTTTCGAAGAAGTGTTCAGTGATTTCTCTGTTTCTTGTTTATTTGTGTAAGACACAGAAGCATATCCTTTGTAATAAAATAGCCTAAATGAAACTTTACTTCAAAAGCACACAGATTCAGTTCTGTACAGCTGCACACGCAAAACAAAATTACCTGCCAAGAGATAAACGTGCTCAACAGTACAGCAACTGGAAATTTGCAGGCTAAGGAAGCATACAAAGTGCACATACTTACTGTAAGTTTGGTAAGTGAACCAGCAAAGAATAAACCCTGCGGGAAGAATCAGTCTGCCATGAAGACTCCAGGACAGGAAACTCCAGTTTTAGCTCACTCGAGGATGAAAAACAGAGAAGAATCACAGAAGCAATGGGAAAAACACCACGGTCTTAAAAACGCATCTGTCCAACATGACTGGACTTTTTGTGGACGATGAAAACGCCACACGAACCTGGAACTGGAGCTAAACACTGGGCTGGGGACTAGTAGTTTAAATAGACCGCGTCATTGCAGTCTGCGCATGCTCCGTGTAGCCAAAAAGAAGAAGAAAAAAAGAAAACCACCGCCGTTTATTGAGCAGTGAATTTTGCACATGTCCCTGCATAGGTCAATAGACTAGACACCACGTTGTCATTTGCCGACACTAGCCAAGTGTGCTTGTAAGTTCTGGGACCACACCCATCTCTGAAAATATGTTTATCGACTCGATGTGAAATATATGACGACGTGGATGACTGAGAACCTTCACAGACGAAATACCTTTTTCACGGTATTGCAAATTTCCGTTTAGTCTTGGACAACTTCTAACAAAAATGCCCACCAAGCAAGTTTTCACAAGTCAGAAGAATATAGTCTCCTTTCAGTCTCACTTCTCTCAGAAAGAAGGAATATGTTTCCAAAATGAAAAGCAGAGAAAATTGTTTTCCCCTGCATGCATCAGGAAAAGAAAAGGGGGGTTCATGTGGGTTGTAACCCTCAGGTAATAGGCCTACTTAAAACAGCTGAAGTTGTTGTTGACCCAACCTGTGCACGGAACCTTTCACCTGTAACCTCTTAACCATCATTTTCATGTGAGCTGGTGCACTGAGTGGTGACCAGTGTGTGACAGTCACTTTTCTTTCTTTATATTTAGATGCTTGTATGTGCCCGAGGCTGTTGATGGGTCTGTATGCAATGATGGGCGTAGCTGCGGGAAGTTTGTTTTTTTTGTTGATGAGTGAGTATAGGGGTGGGATTTAATAAGTTCTTCGTCCCACTCCTTTTTCAGGCAATTTTTGTTTTTTTGTTTTGTGCATTTTATGTTCAATATAGGTATTTGTTGTGCCTGAAAATAAACAAATAAATGAATGAATGAATGAATGAATGAATATTTCCGACATATAAAGAAACATAATAAACGGTAGTTTCTGCTATTGGATTGGATCTAATAAGGAGGGAAGTTTGGTATTTTGCTAAATTGCCCCCCATTAGTTACTGATGACCAAGGATGCTCAAAATAATTCCTAAAGATTGCAAACTGGTGCTCTGGTCCATATCAGCAAAGTTTGATTTTACCACACGGTGGCAGTATTTGCTTATGACTTCACTTCAAACAACGAGAATAATTGTGGGTTCGGTAATGAATGCATCGAGTAAACGTTCAGATGAAAAAGCTATCAATTAAGTGAAAGTTGCAGTGATAGCCGGTGGTACAGTAAGAAAAACAAAACGTGCTGGAGTTGAGAGTCTGTGTGTCGTGGAATTAAAGGGAATTTTATAAGTGGAATTACGAGGAATAAACCTAAAGGCTTATCTGTGTTGTTTTAGTCGTCGACTCAGGTGCCAGAAAGGCGGGGTTTTTCAGCAATAAAGTCAAGAAGAGAAGGTGTGACTTGACGGCTTTTGATCCATTCCGCTAAACAAATATTTAGAAAGTAATATGACGTCTAAAAGGAGGAAAAACAAGTTTGATTTCAAAAACGAATAAAGCCTAACATGGTTTACGAACATCTGTTTTACATACTATACAGAGGCGATTCTAGGTTCAAACGTAGAGAGGCTCAGCTCTCGATCATAATGACAGCAGTGCCTTGCAATTAATATTAATGGCATATGCTGTTTGCATATGCAATTAACCCTTTTCACATTCCCAAACCTCAGTTCAGTTGGATACACATTACAATGCTGGATGAGCGATTGTAGTGTCTAGGAAGGATTCAGAGTGAATAATCACAGATTTCAATCTAATCTACCAGTTTTCTCTCATTTCTCATCCTTCTTCTTCTTCTTCTTTGGTGCAACCCTATAAATACGGGGTACCCCTTTGGCCTTTCCCCTTTTCTACAATTCCCCTGTGGGAGAAGTTGGTGTCATTTCTTTCCCAACATTGTACAACACACATATACTGTATATTTAGACACCCTGATGTTTCTGATTGTGTTTTTAGTTCAGATATTGCCATCATTGTGCCTCTTTTTGGTAGATACTGTAAATGTGTAGTACGTGTGTGCCACATATGTGTTATAGACACAGTTAATAGCATGAACAGATAATTCTTGCTAGCTTGGAAGTTGTGGTGACTTGAATAACTCTCTTCCCTACTGTTTCCATTTGGTTGCAGGGGCTGGGGTGGGCAAGTTAATGACTTGGAGGTCTTTGTTTCTTTTACCTTTCATTGTCAGACATAACGCAGGAACGCACCGGTTACACAGACACTTCACAAGTCACAGCGTTGTCCCTGCATTATCAGAACAGTTTGAACTTTACAGTTTGAACATCTTCTTTCTGCCACAGGAACAAACGTCTTACTTAGTTTATTAATGACAAAGCAACAACGTCTCTGTGTGAGTGCACTATAACATCATGACATCAACAACACTGGACATAAAACTTGTTTTCAACCTGATGTAAACATACACGTTTGGAAAATATAACACTGAAGATAATTCCAGAAAATAATTCTAAAATATGCTATTATTAGTGCTATTAATATAGCTATTTTTAGGGGTGCTCTGATGAAATTTGGGGGTGGTTGAGAACCTATGTACTATAACAATGTTAGAGATCTCTCCACAGAACATATCTTTATTAACATGATAGTGTTGTAACCTGTGGTTTGCATCACGGTTGTATTACATGGAAAGCAGAGGAATAGATGCTTTTACTTTGTAAAAAGCAAACTTTCAAAAAAGAAAAATGAATGATAAAAAAAAGGTCAACATCCACCTTTATATTTGTGAGCTTTAGCCTCGTTCTTTATGCGTATGGCAAAATAGTTTTTGAATCAAAGAAAATCAAAATAATGATATGACACGTACAAAATGTGAAAATGTGACCAGCTTTTTTTTGTATGCTCATTTTTTTAGTGGACAAATCTTTAACAAACGTTCATCTCAAATGAGACTGAAACAAGACAGCATGTTATTTACCCTGGTCCACACAGTGCTTATGGGTACACAGGGTTGCATCATTGAGCCTGTTAGGAAATCACATTGACAGTAAATTCCTCGACTAAACTGATTCTGACTCTGTGAATGAGTAACACAAACACAATAATGTGCATGCACACAAAAATACAAAAAAAGTAAAACATAAATATAAAATTATCTGACCTATGATGTCACTCTGTGTAAATAGTTCACATAAAAAAGCAATAAAGAAAGAAAAAGAAAATTATGATAAAATGCCATAATTCATCGGGCATCAGTTTCATATTAGAAACATGTCAGAAAGTTCACTCGGTGCTGTAAAGGAATAGTTTTTACAACTTCCGGCAAAGAGTAATGTTCTTTTTCAGTGGTCCTATATGAGCTCATAGTACTTTTTTTGACAAGTAAACTATGTGAAGTCATAGAATATTCTATTCTATGATGAATAGAATATCTGCAAAAAATGTAACTGACTGTACTTTTGACAAGATGTGACTGACATGTGAGAAAACACAGCCAACCTGAAAAGAGTTACGGTGGAGGAGGAACTCCCATTGAATAACCTTTGCAAAGAAAGTTTTGGCTTCAGCTGTCAAGACTAATCTCCTGATTGTGGGGTCAAATACATTACCAAAAACACCGGGAGTATCAAAAGACTTGGCACGGTCATAAATGATGTTGTTGGTAGCATGTTTTTGCATGTAAGGACTGAGGGCAGAGTTTATGATCAAAGACAATAAACACAGGCTGGAGTCTGAAAAAGGGTGTGAATTTTATGTGAGTATTGTTTTTGGTATTCTGCTGTGGGAAAAATGCAGTTACTTCACTGTATAACAAAACTGCAGGCAAACGTTGTAGAAATGTCATACCCATCTCCAGAATCCTAATAGGAAGTGAAAGCAAATATCAGGAGAGCTTGAGCCATGCAAGAATGTATTTGTGTGCAGACAGAAATATTTTTATAAGTATTATAGGTAACCTAACTCATGAGAAACTGAAACCTTCAGAGAGCAATAATCCTGTGCTGTTTGGCGGAGGTTTTACAGAGTAAAAATAGTCAAGGCAAGTCCATAGAGAATACATGTTTTCCCATAGATGTTATCTGCCATCTGTTTGCAGGTATGTGCCCACCCATTGTAGACATGGGCAGCTTGCCGCCATGTGATCCACTACTGGGTTTAAAAGCTTATAGCCCACAGTGAAGGACACAGTATACAATTCCCCATTGAGCCACATTGCACGAGCTGGGTAAGTCTGCATGCTCCTGTTCTGTCTTTTTAAACAATCTAACAAAATCTGTAACTATTTTATACTTTTTTGCTAGATTTGGGGTTTCTCTCAGTCTGTAGAAGCCAAGTTATTAACTTGGCTTCTATGTATATTCGCATTTACAGGAACTGCATCCTAAACATGTCAGACACAGAGGATGCCGAATACGAGTAAGTACTGAATTATTTTCTGTAGAAACAAGATTGACGTTCGCAAAGTTATGCCAGCGCAAATGGAATTAAAAAGTGAAACAAAATAAAATTTTGGTCTGTTTTTTTTTTTTTTCAGAGGACAACGTGAGTCATGT